CCACTTTGCCAAGGCATGTGCGAAGCAACATTGAAAATATTCTTCCAAAATCTGCTGTACAGGCTTCCACAGATGATGAAGAAGAACCCTCAGCCAAAAAAAGGCGTTATTGCAGTCTTTGCACGTCTAAAAAGAAAAGAATGTCAAAGATGACCTGTGCCAAATGCAAAAAGACAGTTTGTGGTGAACACAAGAAAGACGTTTGTCATGACTGTCTCTAAAGAAATTTTTTATAATATTATAGTTTTTGTTACACTGATTATATTATAGTCTACTAGTTTGTAAGGATAAAACACTATTTTTTGTGATATTTTACGGGATTTGTTCCCATAAACCGAAGACTGTTGATTTTTGTTAATTTTTCATAGAGGTCTAGTGATTTAAGTTTAAAATTACTTAAAATATAAAAAAATATAATATAAATGCATTTTATTTTTACAATAATGCCAAACCTTTAAAATGACTAGATTAACTTAAATAAATATCCATTGTTAGTATAAAATTGACGCCTTAGAAAAGCATGCGCCTCTGAAGCGTATGGTTATCTTTTACGTACGTTGTCATATGGTTATCTTTCTAGGGTTAAAGAAAGCTTCGCCCATCAGCGAATTAATTAATGACACGCCGCGGATAGGACGCCGTAAAACCACGCAACGGCGCTCCAGATCACGATCCCCTCGTTCTAATAAGATCTCCGATAGCAATGGATCCGGCTCCTTACAAAAGGAACGTCGATAAAAGCAACAATATCCGCGCGATCGGGAACTGTACACGGCAGTGAGCCCATCCGTCGGTTTACGGTTCCACTTTTATTTTTACGACGCAGCCAAGATCGCCCGATCCTATCCAACATCCGTGGAAAATACGGTTCGGAATTTCGGTTTACCATTCGTCCGCGATTTTATTCCGCGCCGATCCGCCCGATCGGCCGACCTTCTTGCGAGCGTTTCCGCTCCATGGACGATTCTCCGTTCGACGCTTTCCGGTCTCGGAACGGCGCGCATTCGAGGGACTTCTAATGACCCCTTCTCGTCTTAAGGGGAAGCATTCGACCACCAGCGATCTTCCAGATCAAATCTTGAAGGCGAGTCGATTTTATAAATATCCGTTTTGGTGGCATTTCTTAACGCTGATTCGACTTACGCGCAAATTATTTTTCCAATTAATTTGTTTCATGATAAGAAAATTTCTCTTTGTAACTAATTCCAGTAATATATCAAAATTCTTGTTATAAATAATTTTGTTTCATAATAAGAAAATTTCGTTTTGTATCAAATTCCAGTAATATATCAAAATTTTTGTTATAAATAATTTTGTTTCGTATAAGAAAATTTCTTTTTGTATCGAATTCCAGTAATATATCAAAATTCTTGTTATAAATAATCTTGTTTCATAATAAGAAAATTTCTTTTTGTAACGAATTCCAGTAATATATCAAAATTCTTGTTATAAATAATTTTGTTTCGTAATAAGAAAATTTCTTTTTGTATCGAATTCCAGTAATATATCAAATTTCTTGTTATAAATAATTTTGTTTCGTAATAAGAAAATTTCTTTTTGTATCGAATTCCAGTAATATATCAAATTTCTTGTTATAAATAATTTTGTTTCATAATAACAAAATTTCTTTTTGTACCGAATTTTTGTTATAAATTGAATTGTGAATTTCGAATATTTTTTAAAAGTATTTAATATACATTTTAGACTTCGTGATATTATAGCTGGTGCCGAGACGAATTCAACGACCCGCTATACTGTGATCTTAAATCATCTAACAACGCTAAAATAATTTTTGAACACGATAAACGGGTTTCCAGCCCACTGTACACTGGTGCGAACGTTACCCGACTGCTTAATTCCGGCGAGGTGCTAAAGGAAGCCACGGAACCGCGATGAAAACCGCAGCTGCTTCTTGTTCATTCCGAGAAGAGAATATAGTAGGATTCTCGATTATCCGAACCGACGGTATTTGAATTCTTTGTTGTCCAAGTACAGCTGCACTTGTAAGTAGATCGATCCAAGGCCATCTACCATTCTCAACATGTTAAAATCATTGGAGAAAGAATGAAGTGTGCTTTTGTTCCATGTAACTTTTTATTTTGACTATTCTTGTTATTTTGTCTACGGTTTTTATTTTATATAAAGTCTTTATTTTCTATAAATTTTTTATTTTGTGCAAAGTCTTTGTTATCTAATAAATTTTTTATTTCGCATGAAGTATATATTTTCCATATAAATTTTTTATTTTCTATATAATTTTTATTTTGCATGAAGTTTTTATTTTATATAAACCCTTTATTTCGTATAAACACTTTATTTTTCATAAAGTTTTATTTTGAGTAAAGGTTTTATTCTCCAATAAATTCTTCATTGCGTATAAAGTTTTGTATTTTCTATGTAAACTTTTTATTTTCTATACAATTTTTATTTTTTACCTATAATTTCTATTTTGCACGAAGTTTTTATTTTATATGAACCCTTTATTTTCTATAAACTCTTTACTTTTCATAAAGTTTTATTTTGCATAAATTCTCCAATAAATGCTTGATTTCGTACAAAGTTTATATTTTCTATATAAACTCTACTTTCCTTACAATTTTTATTTTATCCATAGCTTTTATTTTATATAAAGTCTTCATTTTAATATGAATTCGTTGTTTCCTATAAACTGCTCATTTTCTAGATAGTTTTAAATTTTATTTTAATAAATTTTAGTTTCTATAGATTTTCTTATTTATGTCACTTCCACAGGGAAGTTACAATCATTCTGCTCAAATTGGAGATCTCGTGTTTTCTTTCGAGTATTGCCAGGAGAAGCCCAGATATTCAAATATTCATCAGCCAGTGCGCGAATGTGTTGAACGAATGAAGGGACGTGGAAAGAAATGATGATTTCTGGCACTCACCAGGGACGAACATTCACGCGGCTGCTCCCCCTCCGGCAGCGTGGTGATGAGGAAGAGCACCGGACTGGTGACGAGCAAACTGGTGACCAGCAGCATCGCGAAGGTGAGCAGAGCCTTGTGCACCGCTTTGCTTCTTCGCAACCAGTAACACGGAACACAGCATATCCAGGTGCCCTGATGTGCCACCCTCTCAACTTGCACCTGAGGAACACCGTGCAATCATTAATCCTCCGCGATCGACACCTTTCTATGGCGACGCTGCCAACTAGTCGGAGCAAGTTTCTATTTAAGTCCAAGAGCAAATGCCAGATCGTCCCCAGTCATCAATCACTTTTTACCCCTTTTTAACCTTTCTCCACCCTTCCTACCATTTGCCACTATTTTCTACAATTTTCCACCATCTTCTACCATTTTCCACCATTTTCACCGTTCTCCACCAGTTTCCATTATTTTCTACCATTTGCCCCCATTTCTAACATTTTTGCCAATTTTCCAACATATTCCTCCATTTTCCACCATTTTCCACTATTATTCACTATTTTCTAACATTTTTTAACATTTTACCATTTTGTTAATATTGCACCGTCCTCTACTCTAATTTTAATTTCTAATTCTCACCCATCCCTCGTGTGATATAATGGCCCCTAAAATTTTTGCTGGGTGAACGTGCTTTCGAGATCTCACGGTGACCTTGTCTTTTTTTTAACGGACCTGAATATTTTCTTTATGTAAATCGATTGTGCATTTCAAGGTCAATCCATTAGCCTATTAGACAAGGAGTAAAATCCTCTCTTTTAATTTTTCTATCAGTTCGAATGACGAAAATAAAAAGCTCGTGTTTCTCAATATTTTTTACCTGAGCCAATAACAAAAATTAAAAAAAAAACGCGTATTGTAGAACTCGATTAATTATACGAATATACAAAATTACATTGAAATCGGTTCACACGTAATCAAGCCACAGTAAATGTGCCACAGTGAAGTAAAAGAAACCAATTTTTTCATTGAAATCCGTAGAAGTTCACGATTTTTACGATCTTTAACATTTCGTGTTGGAATGGCGTACTATACGCGTCTCCGTCTCGTATTGCTCAGGACCAAGAAAATAAATAAATAATGATACTAGTTAGAATATAATTGCATTGTGCATTTTGCATCGTGTCGAACAGAATTGATAACAGAGATTTTTTACACACCGATAATCTCGTAAATTACTGTTTTAAAAGGATTCGTCAGAAGTGTCCATCGATAAATTTCCAGCGCGAGAGGTTAACACAATTGTTTGCAACTCGTAACAACGTTAATGCACTAATTAACGATTAACACGCTCACGAAGCCCATCACTTTTACGTTATCGATATCGTGAACGCTCGCCACTTTTACAGAAATTGTATTCGCCCATCTTTAAATCTGATTGGCTCCTCGAAAATACATCTAATCCCTTCTTAAGTCACCACGTGTTTCGCGGATAGAGGCGATTTTATTTATTATACGCGATATGCTATCGATCGACAGCTAAAAAGCAATGCCAGTTAGGGGGTCGTCCTGTTGCAAACTAGCCGCGTGGAATTTCGCAAATGTCACGAGCGTATAGAAGTAAAGGTTGCAAAAGTGATGGGTTTCGTTTTTAGTTAACTTTCAAAATTAAAATGCCTTTAACACTGGATTTACGGTGATTCTAGGTGCAAAAATAAGTCGAGAAAGAGGAATAACATTCTTTTTATTGAAGGCTCCGTTTTCGAGAAAACCGAGTTGAAAGATGCGTCAAATTCGCATAGCTTGTAATACGACGAGAAGTAGAATTGGTATATCATGACTAGACGCGTCAGTTAATTCCTATTCAATAGTACTACTTTTTCAACCTAATTTTTCTCGAAAACGGAGTCTTAAATAAAAAAATGTTATTCCTCTTTCTCGACTTATTTTTGCATGTAGAATCACCCCCTTGCCGATTGTACCACGATTTTCCGAACACCCTATATATATACAGCGTTCCTCGGATCATTTGAAGCAACTTCTTCCTTTACAAAACTGTTCTCCGAGGCACCGTTAACGAGTTATTAACGAAAAACAATGACCAATAAGAATCGAATACGGCTGACGCGAGGCGGCCCAGCCAAACAGCGCACGCAGCCCAGTTCCGCTCATTGGCTCGCTCGCCTCGCGCCAGCCGAGCTCGCCTCTCATTGGTCACTGTTTTTCGTTAATAACTCGTTAACGGCGCCTCGGAGAAAATTTTTGTAAAGGAAAAGGTTGCTTCAAATGACCCGAGGAACTCGCCACTTTCGGATTGCCANAATATTTTTTACCTGAGCCAATAACAAAAATTAAAAAAAAAACGCGTATTGTAGAACTCGATTAATTATACGAATATACAAAATTACATTGAAATCGGTTCACACGTAATCAAGCCACAGTAAATGTGCCACAGTGAAGTAAAAGAAACCAATTTTTTCATTGAAATCCGTAGAAGTTCACGATTTTTACGATCTTTAACATTTCGTGTTGGAATGGCGTACTATACGCGTCTCCGTCTCGTATTGCTCAGGACCAAGAAAATAAATAAATAATGATACTAGTTAGAATATAATTGCATTGTGCATTTTGCATCGTGTCGAACAGAATTGATAACAGAGATTTTTTACACACCGATAATCTCGTAAATTACTGTTTTAAAAGGATTCGTCAGAAGTGTCCATCGATAAATTTCCAGCGCGAGAGGTTAACACAATTGTTTGCAACTCGTAACAACGTTAATGCACTAATTAACGATTAACACGCTCACGAAGCCCATCACTTTTACGTTATCGATATCGTGAACGCTCGCCACTTTTACAGAAATTGTATTCGCCCATCTTTAAATCTGATTGGCTCCTCGAAAATACATCTAATCCCTTCTTAAGTCACCACGTGTTTCGCGGATAGAGGCGATTTTATTTATTATACGCGATATGCTATCGATCGACAGCTAAAAAGCAATGCCAGTTAGGGGGTCGTCCTGTTGCAAACTAGCCGCGTGGAATTTCGCAAATGTCACGAGCGTATAGAAGTAAAGGTTGCAAAAGTGATGGGTTTCGTTTTTAGTTAACTTTCAAAATTAAAATGCCTTTAACACTGGATTTACGGTGATTCTAGGTGCAAAAATAAGTCGAGAAAGAGGAATAACATTCTTTTTATTGAAGGCTCCGTTTTCGAGAAAACCGAGTTGAAAGATGCGTCAAATTCGCATAGCTTGTAATACGACGAGAAGTAGAATTGGTATATCATGACTAGACGCGTCAGTTAATTCCTATTCAATAGTACTACTTTTTCAACCTAATTTTTCTCGAAAACGGAGTCTTAAATAAAAAAATGTTATTCCTCTTTCTCGACTTATTTTTGCATGTAGAATCACCCCCTTGCCGATTGTACCACGATTTTCCGAACACCCTATATATATACAGCGTTCCTCGGATCATTTGAAGCAACTTCTTCCTTTACAAAACTGTTCTCCGAGGCACCGTTAACGAGTTATTAACGAAAAACAATGACCAATAAGAATCGAATACGGCTGACGCGAGGCGGCCCAGCCAAACAGCGCACGCAGCCCAGTTCCGCTCATTGGCTCGCTCGCCTCGCGCCAGCCGAGCTCGCCTCTCATTGGTCACTGTTTTTCGTTAATAACTCGTTAACGGCGCCTCGGAGAAAATTTTTGTAAAGGAAAAGGTTGCTTCAAATGACCCGAGGAACTCGCCACTTTCGGATTGCCAGACATTATTGGGACACCCTGTATATATATTATTATTATTATTATTATATGTAATAATATTATAATAATAATACATATAATAATATAATAATATAATAAAAAATATATATATAATAATAATATCTATATAATGTATAATATATCATAATTTAATTACTAATATATATTAAATTATATATGTATAATAAATTTAATTAAAAATATATATTATAATTAATAATATTTTAATAATATAATATATATTATATATATAAACACCGAGTATATAATGGCCAAGGGATTGAAATAAGGTGAAAAGGGGACTCACCATGGGCTCGTCGGGAAGACCAGAGCTCTCGTCGCCAGGGTTGTTTCCGACGCCAGGAGGGCCGGTCGCCGCAGTGGCCGCAGTCGCAGTCGCAGTGGCAGTCGCAGTCGCAGTCGCAGCTGCGGCGGGCCCTGGGCCCTGCGTATGAACATGTGCGCCTCCTCCGGCCCCAGGGGCGCACAAAGTGCGAGGACTCAGAGGTAGCCTCACGCTTGCCTCGCCACGAGATCTACCCCCACCGCCACGGGCCCCGCGGCCCCCGTAACCCCGGCTCACCGTACACAGAGCCACATTTGCCGGGTCCCGTGGAACACCCGCTCCCTAAAGCCCGCCAATCTATCGAACCTCCCCGTGGGAGAACTCACGGACCTCTAGCACCCGCTACGGAACCCCGACGACCCCCCCGCTCGTCCCCAAAATCCTCCACCAGCACTCAGGCCAACGAGTGCTGGGTGGCTGGATCAGCCGGCCAGGACCCACGATTTCTTCTTCCACCTCCGCATCGGTGGTCGTTTCTCCTCTCCCTCCTTTACACGATCTGAAATCACACGTCACACGATCTCTGATTAACATCTTCGAGGCACACGATTTTAACGCTAGAACTACCGAACTAGTCAAAATCACTGGTTTTTGACTATTTCTTTCACAGTTTCTGATATTATAATGATTTCTCTAGGAGACATCTTTTAGTTACTTTTCTCTGTTAACCCTTTGTGCATTCAACGCCATTTTAACTGTAAATCTAAAATGATTTTTCTGACCTATGCTGTCCCTATTTTATATGACAGAGCGCATTTTATGCGTGTGGAGTTGAGTATTCTGACTTATACAACAGTTTATACTTTTAGCAATTTTTCAAATCTGAATTTAGTCTTGATGAAAGAATTATTTTGGAATGTGATATAAACATTTTTTAGTGGTGCCTCGGGATCACCAGTCGAGCGCAAAGGGTTAAAGCGTTCAGGGTGTGCCAAAAGATGTTCAAAATCGGGAAATGAGAGGATCCTGAGGTCATTTGAAGTACCTTTTTCCTTTAGAAAAATTTTCTCCGAGAAATCGTTAACGAATTATTAACGAAAAACAGTGACCAATGAGAGGCGAGATCAACCGGCGCGAGGCGGCCGTGCGGCCAATGAGCGCAACTGAGCTTCGACCGCGCGTTACCTCGGCCGCTTCGCGCCAACAAAGCTCGCCTCTCATTGGTCAGTGTTTTTAGTTAATAACTCGTAAACGAAGTCGCGGATTGCACTTTCGCTAAGGAGAAAGTTACTTCAAATGAGCTCGAGAGCCTCTCATTTCCCGATTTTGAGTAACTTTTTGGACACCCGCGCGCGCGCGAGATGTTATAATATAAATATATAATAATATATTGATATTATATTGATGATGGGGTATTATATTATTTATTATATTGATATATAGATATGATATATTGATATGATATATATTATATTGATGATGATGTAATGTAAATATAAAATAATATAAAACAATGTGTGTACATTATTCGTGATTAGTGCTCGATAGTTCCAATGTTAAAGGAAATAAAAACAAGTCCGCAGAATATACGCCGTTGTCACAAAATTAATTTGATAAACTGTATGAGATACAAAATATCGGTAAAAATAGTGTTAAACAATTTATTCGATTTTAAATAGTGTTCGAATATTTATGCAGGGCTGGGGAAAAATCAATTTTTGAAATAGTAAATAGACCATAAATATTTATAACAGATTGTAAATACTATAAATATTTATAACAATATTTATGATAATATTTATAAGATTTATAATCGGTAATAACTATAAATATTTGTACCTTCTCGTGTAGTACAAAAACTGGTAAATAAATATTTTTGAAATAGTACTCTTACATATCACGTAGTTAATTACATTCGAAATGCTATTTACATATACACATAGCTACTATTTCGAAGACAGTTTATTTGCCAAATTCTGCACCACAAGAGAAGACAAAAACGTCTATAGTCTATTTGCTATTTGTAAAATCAATTTTTTCCTAGCCCTGTATTATTGTGACCGACCGCGCCTAATTGCATCCCTCCCCCTCCCCTCGCAAATTAATCTACCAAAATCAATATTTACAAAAAGATCCCGCGGTCCTCTAATGAATAAAGTTTCGATTGCGTTTGAATACTCGATCAGCGGGATCTTCGTTTCTATTTCTGAACGACGGCCCCTCGTTTCCGGAGGATTTGTTTCGAAACGATTGTCTCGATCATTCTACTCCGACGACCCTAATCTCGGACGACAGATCCGGCAGCGCTCGTTTCGAGAATTCCACGGAGAAGCCCCTGTAGAAGGCACGCTCCACTTGCGTGCTAATGATTCCGTCGATATACAAGCCTCGTAATTTGTCATTGTCAAAACCACCGACCGATTATCACTGCTGTTCGAGCAATTAAGTGCCCTTTAAACGTCAGCTTTGACGAAGAGGAGAGAAGCCTCGAACGAGTCGGAAGCGGTCGTCGGGTGTTTCGAGGCACGTAGCACGCGACACGCAACAGTCTCTCTCTCTCTCGCTGTCTCTCTCACTCTTTCTCTCTCAATTTAAGTGTACCAATTACTGTGGTCCCCCCTGGTTATTGTGCCTTATCAACAATTTTACTTATATTTAGAAAACAATTCAATTAAAGATGTTGAATTTTTCCAATAAAATTTGATCTGCAATTTTCATGGCCGAATTAAAAGCTTGTATCTGGTTTAAAGCATTAATAAATGAGTAAATAAATAAATGACGAGATATTAAGAAGATCAATACACATGAAACACAATTTTATTAATTTAATCATTTCGTATAAACATAAAGCGATAGATATTTAGAAACCATAATTATAACAAGGCATTTTTTATCAAATTCAGTTTCAAAATTTATTTATTATATTATTATAATAATTCATAAAATTCCGCACAATTTTCTAACTTATATATAAGAAATATGTTGCTAAGAAAGATGAAAAAGAAAAACAAAATGATACTTTCCAAAACAAAAGAATAAACTATTGCATTCGTAAAACTCGTTTAAATGAGAGAGAAACAGCAACGTAATCGCGGCTTCTTCGATATATTTTCTTATTTAAAATAATTGTTTAAAAAAAATTGTTCCTATGATTGTTCTTCCTAAAAAAAATTGTTTCTAGTTGACTGTGCACAGAGAGTAATTGGATTATTTAAACTTCTACTGGATTATTTGAGTGTTCCGACAAGTGCGATACAGGTAGAAGAAACTATTTAATTAGTCGAAAACTTCGGTCGTCACTTTAATGGCCACAGTAATTGGCACCCTCACCCTAGCCGTGCTCCAACCGGTATATAGCTTTACACCGATCCGCCGAGCAAAACCTTTCGGCTGGAAATTCGACGCGGGAACAACGTCGCACGAAAGCGTCCGTGCCAGTTAATAATTTGCTAAACTTTTTTCGGAAATCGGATCGGTGACTTTTTCTTTGTGAAGACGTGTATTCCCCGTGACCCGATGATGCTAGCCGATTGCGGAACTTTATGCTTTTACGGGGGACGAAACGCCGCGCCGGAGACACATTCGCCGGACGTAATAACTAAACTGCGTATCTCTATGCAAATTGATCCATGAAAGTAATCTGAAGGCGCGTGAAACACGTTGTTTGCCGCCTTTAACACGATGAGAGGACGTCGCGGCCGTCGGTCACATATGGCCGACACTAATTTTTAACCAGGTTCTAAAATTCATTTTTATTGTAATATATTCAAACACACAGGATTTTACTGGCGTTTTTAGAGAACGCGCGACAGGTCGAGGAATATTTGCTATGGTAAATTTTAACATTCCAGTTACGGTTCCATTAAAATTTTATCCGCTTTGTTAAATATTTATTATCTATTTGAAACTTTTGGAACGCGTCATTTCGACGTGATCCAAATTTTTGTGTCGAACTACATGCAGATGCATTTATTTATTTATCGAAGGGGTACGGGAAGTTACTCGTTAGTTATAAAATGGAAAAAAAATTAGGTTAGTTACAAAATGGAAAATATACAGAGGACTTATAGGGAATTTACTGAATTCTGTTCTATTGGACATATAGTATAATGAATAGACTGCGGATTTTATGCATTTGTGGCAAAAATGGACAGGCGGAACATAAAATATTGAACTGATTAAAAGAAACTAAGAATGATGATGCAGTTATTCAAACTTGTTAAAATAATTTAAAAGGGCAAAAATGTTGCCCTAATGTTGAGGGAGACAATTTTTACAAATGTATCAACAAAAATACATGTATACTTATTACAATATATGTGTATACTTTTGATGCGCCAAGAACTTGGCGCTGAACAAATTAGAATTGGAAAGTTAAATTGTTTAATAACCCAAGAAAATTAGGATGATGAGATATAGATTAGCTTAAAAATTGATTTTCAAATCTGAGCAAACAATTCCGTCGCCCGAAGTGTGTTCGACGCAGCAGTCCAAATTTCAATGAAATAAACATCGATATCTTTGGCATTTTCTCCAAAAAGAAAAAAATATCGACAAATATTATAATATATAAATATTTTAATATTATATTATATCAAAATATAAGTATATAAAAATATATAATATATAAATATTAATATTATATTATATAAAAATATAAGTATATAAAAATATATAATATATAAATATTAATATTATATTATATAAAAATATAAGTATATATAAAAATATATAATATATAAATATAATATGTAAATATTGTAAATATTTATAACAAAACTTGACGCTCGACGAAACCTATAAATCTAACCTAACCTATAATCGAATTTACAATTTCATAATTATTTAATAATTAGGAAGACGCCCTCGACATAGTATCCAAGCGCACGAAGTGATAAGAATCGCTGGGAATCTGCATAAATTCGATCTTATCGCGTTTACGGGGCAACACATATCTGCCAGTCAGTTTTACTGCTCGGCAGCTAACTATTATTGCCCCGGCCATAAAGTCTCATCGCACATTTTACGATTCGAAGCAAAATCCACCGCGTAAAATAAAGTGTTAAACATTCTGTAACTAAAGTAACCGGAATTTCTAAACAATGCACGAACTGCTTACTTATTCCGTCGGGTCAAGGAAAAGAAGCTTTATGTATTAACCCTTTCGCTACTGCGGGTGACTATAGTCACCCGCCACAAAACGACACCCGCATACGATGGGTGACTATAGTCACCGGCCACAAGATGCCACCTATACACGACGGGTGACTATAGTCACCGGTCACAACAATGGAGCCAAAAGTTCAAACAAGGGCTATCGCCTCGCTTTCCTCTGTTCGCAGACGCTATCATCTACCAAAAACTACGATCAATTGTAATAAATCTGGTCATATTAATCCAACGTTTTTGAAGCAAAAGACTTGGCCCCGAATGCTGAAGACTGCGCGCGCTTAATGTTCCTGCTTTCGGCAGGGTGCTCCGTTCTACACGAGGGACTCCGCGGCGGGGCCCGCCGTAGCGAAAGGGTTAAATACGAGCTGAATATAGTTATTGAACTTC